CATTTATCAGGAACCGTTTGTGAAGTCCTCCAAAGAAATGCTGCGACAGGGGCACCTTATCCAATACCTCGACTAGGGTGTCCGCGTATCACACCAAGAAGACAGGATCGCCTTCTCCTCAAAGGACGCCGTGCTGGTCGTACAAAGACAACCAGTGTCCTCAGAAAAGAGAGGAGAAAGTCATTCAAACGCCCGTTTCAAGGTCCCTCGTGAACAAGAGATTACTGCAAGCCGGTTATTTTGCACGAAGGCCAGTAGGGAAACCACTGTTAACAGCAGGTCATATACAGCGACGTCTGCAATGGGCTGGGGACCACGTGCGTTTGCAGCCAAAGCACTGGAATCACGTCGTTTTCAGTGATGAGGCCAGATATGGATTTTTTAGGGTTGATCGTCGAATCAGTGTCCACCGACGTGTACGAGGGGAATAAAACGATGATTGTGTACTGCCTAGGGTGCAAGCAGGGGATGGTAACGTCTCTGTTTGGGGAGCATTTCATGTCGGTTCCCAGAACCTGTTGGTTTTTCTAGGAGGCAACCTCATCCAGGATTCCTACAGAGACATTCTACAGCAAACAATGCTTCGATTGGTAAGAGTCATCTTCAGGAACAACTTTGTGTACCAAGACGACTGCGCAACCCCACATCGAGGCCGCAGAATCACTGTTTTTCTTCAAAACCAATGGGTTCAGCAACTGCCCTGGCCTGCAAACTCTCCAGATATGAACCCAATTGAAAATCTGTTGGCGGCAGTAATTCACAGAATTAATAGCTATGACCCTAGGCCGGTAAATTGTGATGTAAACTGCGACAGGCAAATATCACTGCGTGGAATGATATCTCTTCCCAAACTCTAAAAAACGTGTCACAGGGTATGCCAGGTAGGATGAGGGCGCTGCAAGCGGCTGCTGTAGGTCATACCCGCAATTACTGACTTTTCATGATTAACTGTAGTGAGATCTTTGACTGTGTAAGATATCACTGTTCGGAGGCTATCATTTTCTTTAATATCTTATCTTAAAGTTTATAATGACATCAAACTGTTGATATGGTTTTCTGGGGGTGTTCCTTTCTTTTGAATGGCATCTTATGTCAGATTTGATATTATTGACCAAAATATCTCACAACAGAAGACTGGATGTTATTATCACTCAGTGACATACATTTTTAATGACTCAAGCCCAAAAATTTTTAATCAGCACTCAAAAATAACAATGATAAAAAATATTCCATATTAAGTAGCAACCCTGTATCTGACTTTCAAACTCGGGGTGAGTATACGGTTATTTTCCGAGCTCCCCAGCAGCAGTCTCTAAAAACCAAATAGTGTTTTTCCTCTTCTCGTACATGCACCTTTGCCCCTACATTTGGTTCCTTTTTTGCCATTGCCGTAAGTCGTAGTTTCTGTGATATTATAAAGAAGTCCTTGCAGTTAAACAACACAAACCCCTAAAATCAAACAACTCTCTTGGATACGGATTCCTCTAAAATACGTGGAATTAAAACCACGTGTGATAACAGTTGATTTGAGGTTGTCAGGACGGAAGGCGTTAAACCCTGACAAACACCAACAGGATCACACAGCAGGAAAGAATAACCCTGAAGAGAAAGCTGACGGTCAAGATCTGGCACAAGGGCTCAATTTCTTGACCCGGTCGTCCTGCGGAATTTCAGTACGAGAGCGTACGAGAGACCATCTCTCAACTTATTGCACTTGCACCCCCTTTTACAGTGAAAACATAATCCCCATGAAATACAGGAAATGCAATGATTCAAAAGTGAAACACAATCGCTCGTTACTCGGTTATTTGATGATATATATATATATATATATATATATATATATATATATATATATATATATATATATAATTACTTTCAACCTGATTGTATTTTAAATGTCACGATGGAATCGATAAACAGTTCGATTAAAATTTTAAAAACTAGAAGGGACACTTCGTGTTAAACTATTCATTAATTAAAAGATCTTATTCACTGCTAGTGGACAGCGGCATCAGCAAGTAGAGGGCCTAAAACAGATTTTATCCTTGAGTTTCGCGCTTTCAGTTTGGTAGAGACTGAAAAGTTTGCTTTGTACTTCAAAGCATCACCATGTGATTGGAAAACGTTAGCTGTCAGCTCACATATACTTTTACATGTATCAAAAATGTTGCAGAATTCTACGTAAAGTTGTGATAAAATATACCAGCACTTCCATCAACATTTTCCGGAACTCTAACTGGTATTTTTTGTTTACAAAACCGCACAAAATTAGAGCTGTAAGACGTCCGTATAACCTCCACAAGTTCCCAAGAATTTGAATATTATATAAAATTCATGTAAACCCCACTTACCATCGGCGTAACACGCAGTAAGAAAGACTGCGAACACAGCGAGAGCAACGTTTATCTTCATCCTCTTCCAGTTCAGTCTTCTTGCAGAATGGTATTCTCACTCGAGCGTTCTTTGTGTTTGTCCGCCCATGTGTCTTACCCTCTTTCACATATTCCGGGTCTTGCGTTCATTTATTGCTCTTATGTTTTTGAAATTGCCCAAAATTCCTTTTAGATAGTATTATTTCAGATCGATGACTTAAAAATCTCAATAAACATTCTTCGCAATAAGCGTGATGTTTCGTCCAAATTGGTCGACAATTATCAATTTAAAAAGCGCCGGACTATATTTCTTTCCTGAGCTCTGATCTAACATCCGCTTTCAGAGGCTCTTAGCTTCGTGCCAGGAAGGCCATAGAAACCAGATCTCTGCGCACGTGTTCAGCCATCATGATTTATTTATTTATTTTCAGGTCGCATCCAAACATCTTACATAATCAAAGGGGGAATCGTTAATCTATTACGTCCACATTATCCCAAAATGCAATAAATAAGAAAATGTGATGTATGATTTACCACTGCATTCAACACTAATACTAATGTATTTTGAAACTTCAATACACGTTGCCTCACACTCAGGTTCACAGGCGTATAGACTATAGAAAGATACGTGTGGAAAAGCCACCCTGGACTTCAAAGAAAACGGCGAAGGCAGACAGTTACAATTACACGGACAGTGAAGTACAAAGGAGAGACTACATTGAACTCTGAAACTTTTTTTTGGGAGGGGGGGGGGAGAAGAGGAGTCTCTGTGCAGTTAAGTTAGGCTGGTTTTCAATCAGTAAAACTACCTTTTTTTACACAGGTCAAGAGTCAGGTCGTTAACTTTATCGTAAAAAAAGTAAAACTCATCAAAACACATTCTGATTTGACTTGTTGCTTTGCGACCTGATACATATACTGAGTAGCAAGTTTCAAACGTTCGCCCGTAAAGCGTTGATCTAATAGTAGACCACGTGTGTCCCTGATACTGGGTCGCACCACTGTAAACAATATATGACAATGATAACAGATATGGTAACCCCAAACGTCCTAAACCGTATTTTTCCCCTCGATAAGTTACATGTATAGGGCTGTATTCCCAGAGCTTTTAGATCGATCTATCCCCGCGGGGAGTCTCACTAGATTACTGTCATATAATCCGGCTTAAATGTCCGTCCCGCCTACTACAAGCTGTAAGGGGGTAATTAACTTTCGTGTCCGCTCGGCTGACAGCTTTTTAGCGTGAACCCCCAGGGAGTTAGGTCGATCTAAAGTAGATCGATCTAATCTCTGGAAATGGGGTCTAGAACGCCTTTAACCTCAAGTGGATAAGTCTTACCTACCCTCTAATTTCAGGGTAAAAACACTTAAATATATATATATTTTAAAAATAACAGAGTAGAAAACCTCCACTCGTCCTATACTGAAACATTCATTGTGCTCTGTGCGCACTTCACTAATTCGCAGTACTTCCTTTATTGCGGTAGAGGTGAACATTTTTGTGAAACAAGGCGTCGTACCCCTCCCCAATCTTAAATGGGACACGGAGGTCAAGATTCACCCTCTGACCTCGTTACAACCTTTTAGGTTTATTGACTCCATTATGGTATTGTCAAATCCGAAGAGGTCTTATATAACCACCATTATAGGAATCAGCAGCGGAGATAATCGAGAGCTACATTGGACTATAGGAGTTTCCATACCATTTAACTGCAGACAGTTCGATGGAGCTGAAGTCCTTTACTAGTACAGCATGATTGATACAAGTGTGTGTGATATAAAGTACATGTAATTAACAGTTAAATCTGGGGAGACACACTTTTACGAAGCCACACTTACGAGTGAGTATTTATTATATACTTATTTACCTCCGTATCAATATCTGTACCGTAGGGCTAATTTTGAGTTTGTTCACGCACCTTAGTTGTATTTCAAAGAATACATGAATAATATAACCGACTACAGAAAAAAAGGATACATTGAGGGGTGTGTGGATAATGATTTTAATATTGCCTAATACACGCTATAGTGTACTATATAAATAACCGGCTCCACACTGGAAAAGCTGTCATCAAATTTATACCTTCTAGGGTTTTCTTTGTCATTTCAAATAATAATTTTAGTGTCCCATTTGAAAATAATTTCGAATAAAATGTCATTCTGTTTAGCATTTATCAGCTGCGTGATACTCAGTACATATCAGAGACGCACGGTGTACAATGTACAGGGTACGGACATAATTGTATTTTGTCAACATAGGCCTACCAGTACATTACGCACATGGTTTGGCCGGCCATAAAAAAGTTATATCAGGTCACCAGTTTGTTGGAATGTAACGAATCTTGTGTGGAACTATGCAGTGGTTACACGCACCAATTATATCTGAATATTTTTAGCCCATAGAAACATAAAAACATATGATGGAGTACTATATTGGATAGTTAATGTGCAGGAGTGCTACGCATCCTGTTTTATATGTTTTTTATTCTAATTTAAAGATAAATATGTAATAAAATAATGAGAAGGAATGAGCAACCACACAGTCCACTCACTGAGTAAAGCATATAATGTGATTATGGTGTGAAAATCTCGCTTAGTTGGCACATGCTGGCTGGAAAAATTTAAGACCACGAGCGAATTCAGCGGTGTCTCTGAGAGGGTAAATAGACGCATTACACAACTGTCAGAGGATATGTGTACATGTGCATGTACGGGTACTTTGTATCACAAGAATAGCACACGTGTGTCATAGAGTGCATTCCCATAGATTTAGATCGATCCATCTAGATCGACCTAACTCCCTGGGGGTTCACGCTAAATTGCTGTCAGGCCAGCGCGCACGGTAGTTAATTACCCCCTTACAGCTTTTAGTAGGCGGGACAGGCATTTAAGCTGGCTAAGCTCACAGTAATCTAGTGACACTCCCCACAGGGATAGATCGATCTAAAATATGTGGGAATGGGGTCATAAAGCTAGAGCTCAGTTCGATGTGCTCATACAAGTACACGGACATTGACAAGAAATGAAAGAATGCGTGCAATTGGGCCAATCATACATGTATTCATGACGTACATGTACGACATGTATTTATCACAGGCCAGTTAGTTTGTATGGCAATAATGGCATGTGTAATTAAATGTGGATGTCATAGATCAAGGTATATCATATAACCTGATGATGATGGATCTGACCTGTGACATATTCATTATAGAAGATAAAGTAATGAGATTGAATAGATACAAGGGGAAGCCCACAGGTGTCAGTATTCATATTGTTACCTGCCACCAGAGTAAATACGGAGTACTAGATTCAGATTGCTATGTCATTCTCATCCGTACTAAAGGAAAGAACCATTCTCGCTTGATGTGAACGGACATCTTTGACTCCTCAAAATTTAAGGAGTTCAGGCAGGTACATGCACACACCTGACGTTCCAACAAACAGCGGCAAATAAGTGTCCTAAAAGACGAAGATTACTTAAAACGACTGATTTACGGGTAAGCCCTCACATTACTATTGACTCCGTTTTAGCGATCCCATTCAGTCGATCGATGTACGTTTATGAACAGATTAAGGTCAAAAATGACCAATTGCAATTGAGATAACGTGTTTGTGTACATGTACATGTACGTTTGTATATAAAATGTATAGGGACGAACGGTATAAGGTTATTAATTTGGGTTTGGTGATGGTTGATCTTTACCAGAAGACCAGCTGGAAGATGATGCTGTTGTTCAAATAACATCCGCGCCTGTGTAAGATGATAGAGATACCGCTTCCCCTTTATTCTTTATTTGTACGGGTAAGACTCGCCCTAAGTTTTGACCCACTTAGGCCAGGCTAACCCTAACCATTATAACTAAATGGAGGGCAGACTTTCTGTCACACGGATTCTCAGTTCCTTTACATCGTTCACAGAACAGAAATGTACACAGGTAGATAAATGTCAAAGAAGTGAAAAGCTTTCCCTTTGTCTGGTGGAGGGCAATGGAGTTGGTACAGGTTTAATTTCAGGCCTACCCAACTACCAGATGCTGCACCGAAGGATCCAGAATTCACCGGTAGATCGGATCGCGCTACCGGTTTTCAAGGTGTTTATCAATACGCATTTCATCTTTGCCATACTGATTATCGTTGCCTTGGCTCTACGACCCTTCAAACAGTATGGGCTGAGGACATGAAGAATGCCAGTTAAGATACCACGGGGAATATTGTACTTGTTATTGTTATCATAAGCATATAATTTGCGCTTTATTACTTATTTACTACCTTTACTGGTTCTTCATTCTTATTTAAGGTTAATCACAATCCCACTGAAACAAAGGATGACCATATAAAATACCCATAAATATATAAATGGATAGGGGTCTTGCCGTAATAGTCCATATGGACAGATTAAAATGGTTAGACGTATATATATTTAAAGGCATTACATATTTGTGGCGATTTTAGTGTAAGTTGCAAGGTATATGGTGCAGGTCAGGGCACATGGATAGAAGATAAGGTAAGGAGATTGAATAGATACAGGGGGAACCCTACAGCTTATCGGTGAAAAAGAAATCTAAGAACCTGTATAACCACAGGTGGGTTATTACTGTACAAATGTCAGTCTTCATATTGTTCCTTTCCGCGTAGAGTAAGTACTGGGTACTACATTTAGATGGGCTGCTCAGTCGTTGTAATCAGTCGTCTTTTTCTACAACTGGAGTTAAAATATTTATTAATTTATTAATTAATACTTATCTCTCGTCGGCTAATGAATGAAACACTGAACATTTTATATCCACCTTATAAATAGGCCCTATTTTGGAAAATTACAGGTTCTGCCTGCTTAAGAAATCATAAGCTTTAGGAAGTCATTTGTACATGTATTGTGGTACTTCCAGTATTCTCCAATATATACACAGGAGACTATATTTATATTTTTTAAATTTTCTTTTCAGCCAATGTGGTAAGCCAAGTCAGCCATAATGGACACTCCGCATGCGTCATTCGACGAGGAATTCACATGGAAGGGCAAGGCCGTTGTCGTAATATTCCCCACGTCGTTCCTATTCTTTACGGCACTTAATCGACTGGTCAGTCATTACACACCTGAGAAATGCGCCGGATACCCAGATCGCTGGACAGCTTACGTTATATCCTGGCTACATGCTATTCTGAATGGCTCTCTGGCCTTGGTACTGTGAGTGTCTTGTGGTGAAATTTTAAGATTCAGTTCTTATTTAATATTATTTCATACAGGTGTGGATTCCATACCAGTTGATCTTGAAACGTATTTATTTATTTATTTATTTATTTATTTATTTATTTTTGTCGGGTCATCTGTATTTTCATTCTTTTATATGTTTATCTATAGATTTAATACTCAGTTTCATATGAATAAACTAAATCAATATATCGATGAATTTATCAAGTTTGTGAGCTTTTTGTAATATAAGTGTATATCGATCTGTATATCTTACCACATTTGTCTCTAGTAAATCTAGGGCCTTTGGCAGGAACCAGTATTATGCAAGGTACCTGTATACCCAAATTAATTGAAAATTTCCTCGATTAACTATTCGCAAGACCAGGTGACTTCTCTCCGGTTTTTATCAAAATGCTCGTCTGGTTCATGGGGCCTATTGCAGCTCGTTGCAAGAGGTTCCCGATTTCTAGATCCGCACGCTCATCTATCCTTTTTTGATAAATCTTTGCTAGGTGTCGCTGGTTCACCAGTTTGTTAGCAAGATAGGAAGCATCCGCCGTGGCTTACAATGAGCAAATATGTCCCGTTTTTCTGAGGAAATATTTCTAACTTCCGTTTAATTTCTCTTAAGGACCCTGTCAGGACGCGAGTGGGTCGAGAGCACTCCCTGGGCGTTCTATTTACACTGTATGTCAGCAGGTAAGTAAACTTGAGGCGATTACTTAAAAGGCCCATGGCCATTCACATGTACCGGGTATTCATTTAATAGATAGATCTTGAAAATAACTTAATTCAGGTATCAAAGTATGCTGTGTACATTGTGATTTGATTAGGCGGGTACCGGGGTATTCAGGCCCGTAGCCAGCAATTTCAAAAGGGGGGTTCTTTTTCTGAAAAAGTGGATCTTTTTCCATAAAAACTTCATGTACCTAGATCAAATTTTACCCAGAGTGTACCTAGATCGAATTTTTCCCAGCAAAAGGGGCGGTTCTTTCGAACCCCCCGAACCACCCCCCCCCCCCCCCCCCCACCCACCCCCCTNGGTAGTTGGGTAGATGATAGAGATACCGCTTCCCCTTTATTCTTTATTTGTACGGGTAAGACTCGCCCTAAGTTTTGACCCACTTTGGCCAGGCTAACCCTAACCATTATAACTAAATGGAGGGCGGACTTTCTGTCACACGGATTCTCAGTTCCTTTACATCGTTCACAGAACAGAAATGTACACAGGTAGGTAAATGTCAAAGAATTGAAAAGCTTTCCTTTTGTCTGGTGGAGGGCAGTGGAGTTGGTACAGGTTTAATTTCAGGCCTACTCAACTACCAGATGCTAAGATGTTAATCACAATCCCACTGAAACAAAGAATGACCATATTAAATACCCATAAATATATAAATGGATAGGGGTCTTGCCGTAATAGTCCATATAGACAGATTGAAATGGTTAGACGTATATATATATATAAAGGCATTACATATTTGTGGCGATTTTAGTGTAAGTTGCAAGGTATATGGCGCAGGTCAGGGCACATGGATAAAAGATAAGGTAAGGAGATTGAATAGATACAGGGGGAACCCAACAGCTTATCGGTGAAAAAGAAATCTAAGAACCTGTATAACCACAGGTGGGTTATTACAAATGTCAGTCTTCATAGTGTTCCTTTCCGCGTAGAGTAAGTACTGGGTACTACATTTAGATGGGCTGCTCAGTCGTTGTAATCAGTCGTCTTTTTCTACAACTGGAGTTAAAATATTTATTAATTTATTAATTAATACTTATCTCTCGTCGGCTAATGAATGAAACACTGAACATTTTATATCCACCTTATAAATAGGCCCTATTTTGGAAAATAAACACCACAGTTACAGGTTCTGCCTGCTTAAGAAATCATAAGCTTTAGGAAGTCATTTGTACATGTATTGTGGTACTTCCAGTATTCTCCAATATATACACAGGAGACTATATTTAATTTTTTTTTTTTTTAATTTTCTTTTCAGCTAATGTGGTAAGCCTATCCACGCCATATCAGCCAAAATGGACACTGCGCATGCGTCATTCGACGAGGAATTCACATGGAAGGGCAAAGCCGTTGTCGTAATATTCCCCACGTCTTTCCTATTCTTTACGGTACTTAATCGACTGGTCAGCTATTACACACCTGAGAAATGCGCCGGATACCCAGATCGCTGGACAGCTTACGTTATATCCTGGCTACATGCTATTCTGAATGGCTCTCTGGCCTTGGTACTGTGAGTGTCTTGTGGTGAAATTTTAAGATTCAGTTCTTATTTAATATTATTTCATACAGGTGTGGATTCCATACTAGTTCTTAAGGAAATTGAAAGCTTTTACCAGAAATGTGTTTATTTTAACGANTTAGTTGATCTTGAAACGTATTTATTTATTTATTTATTCATTTATTTATTTATTTATTTATTTTTGTCGGGTCATCTGTATTTTCATTCTTTTATATGTTTATCTATAGATTTAATACTCAGTTTTATATGAATAAACTAAATCAATATATCGATGAATTTATCAAGTTTGTGAGCTTTTTGTAATATACGTGTATATCAATCTGTATATCTTACCACATTTGTCTCAAGTAAATCTAGGGCCTTTGGCAGGAACCAGTATTATGCAAGGTACCTGTATACCCAAATTAATTGAAATTTTCCTCGATTAACTATTGGCAAGACCAGGTGACTTCTCCCCGGTTTTTATCAAAACGCTCGTCTGGGTCATGGGGCCTATTGCAGCTTGTTGCAAGAGGTTCCCGATTTCTAGATCCACACGTTCATCTTTTTTTTGATAAATTTTTTACTAGGTGTCGCTGGTTCACCAGGTTGTCAGCAAGATAGGAAGCATCCGCCGTGGCTTACAGTGAGCAAACATGCCCCGTTTTTCCGAGGAAATATTTCTAACTTCCGTTTAATTTCTTTTAAGGACGCTGTCAGGACGCGAGTGGATCGAGAGCACTCCCTGGGCGTTCTATTTACACTGTATGTCAGCAGGTAAGTATTAATCTTGAGGCGAATACTTAATAGGCCTATTCACTTGAACCGGGTATTCATTTAATGGATAGATCTTGAAAATAACTTAATTCAGGTATCAAAGTATGCTGTGTACATTGTGATTTGATTAGGCGGGTACCGGGGTATTCAGGCCCGTAGCCAGCAATTTCAAAAGGGGGGTTCTTTTTCTGAAAAAGTGGATCTTTTTCCATAAAAACTTCATGTACCTAGATCAAATTTTACCCAGAGTGGACCTTTTCCCAGCAAAAGGGGCGGTTCTTTCGAACCCCACGAACCCCCCTGGCTACGGGCCTG